TCGCCGCCGCCGAGACTGCAGGGAACGCAACGCCCTCGTGACGGTGCGGTTCGTCAGCGAGCAGATCAACGTCGTGCGAAATGCCGACAGCCAGATCGTCGATGGCAATCCGAACGAGGTCCAGAAGGTCGTCGATCTCTGGACGTTCCGTCGCGACACGACGTCGGGCGATCCCAACTGGCAGCTCATCAAGACCGAAAGCGAAGGCTAAGAGGGAGGCTTTTCCGAGAATGCGAAGGAGCCTCTTCACCGGGGGCCTGGCCCTGTTGGCCGCCGCCGGTTTCCTCTCTGCCTGTGCCTCGACGCCCGGCTCTGCGCCTCAGCAGCGCATCTCGATGGAGCCGACGTCCTATAACGAGATCGCCGGCTGGGCCGAGGATCGCCATGCCGAGGCTCTTGTGGCGTTCCGCCGTTCCTGCCCCAGGCTGACGGCGGGTCCCGACGTCAGGATCGCGACCGACGGCGGCGAAAAGACGATCACGCCCGGCGAGTGGGACGCGGATCTGCGAAGCCGCCGCCGCGGTCAAGGCGGGTGACGCCCGCGGCTCCCGGGCGTTCTTCGAGACGAATTTCCGGCCACTGATCATTCCAGGTGCAGGGCAAGTTCACGGGCTATTTCGAGCCCGAGCTGCGCGGCAGCAAGGTGCCGTCGCGCCTCTTCACCGTGCCGGTCTATCGCAAGCCGTCCGACCTCACCGACCAGCCCTATTTCACGCGCGCCGAGATCGAAGCCGGCGCCCTCAAGGGCAAGGGCCTGGAGATCGCCTATGTGCAGGATCCCGTCGGCCTGTTCGAGGTCCAGGTCCAGGGCAGCGGCCGCGTGCAGCTTGCCGAGGGCGGCACCATGACGCTCGGCTTCGACGGCTCCAACAACCGTCCCTACACCGCCATCGGCGCCGTTCTGGTCGAGATGGGCGTGATGAAGAAGGAAGACGCGACCTGGCCCGCGATCCGCGACTGGTTGAAGCGCAATCCGCAGCAGGCCCGTGACGTGATGCGCAAGAAC